GTTGATGACGGCGCGGCTGCCGTGGGTGTGCAGCTCTACTGTGTCCTCGCCGGTGAAGCTGGAGAATAGGTCCCGGCGACAGCAATGGTGGGTGGGTGAGTGGGAAGGACGTGCTGAGATTCTTTGTTTACCCGCATTGCTTTTGCTGCTTGTCCAATGAGCTTGGTCGAATGGAGGTGGGGGATAGGTGGGGTCTGTTCGGAGGGAGGAGTGGTCAAAAGAAAAATACACCCATGCAACAAGAGCGAACTTGGGAGAAATATCTGCAGGGAAAACATTTCGTCTTCCACGTGATATTTGAAGTCCCACTTGCTGTGACATGGGTGAGCGGGGTTTGGGCCCACACGTGTATGAACGCTCTGCACAAGCAGACCCCCTTTGCCTTGGTGCTCAGGATAATTCTTCGCGTGTTTGTACCGTGCCTCGTGTCTGGGTATCAAGCTTTCATTCATTTTGATTAAAGGTTCAGGAAAAAGGGTGCACGAGGCAATCCGACGATTCTTTCGAATGGCGTAACTAACACTTCCCCGCGGTTCATTCTGGGGGTGTTCTTCACGCGAGGCAAGAGTTTCCGACGTGAAAGACGGCAGGAACCAGCTACATTGACCGGCATGTTGTTGATACAGACCGGCACGACACCGCAGGCGTAATCAACGCAATGGTGACAAGAAGCGATCATAAGGATTTTGCAATGTAGTTGTTACAGTGGTTATTGCTGATGCTTTCACAACAACCGACCCGTTCCGATCTCTGCTCAGTACCGTCCTACATCCGTCGCGGTCCAACTGACGCGGGATGTGCACCGTAGATACCAAACGGCCGGTATTGTTGCATCTTTGGCGCAAGCGTACCTGCGTGGTCCTGGCATCCACAACACGAGAGCCTCGTCGAGCAAGTCCCCAGTCGCCGGGTCGTACAACCGCCGCACCACTGCTCGTCGCGCCGCAGGGAACGGCGGCAACCTTCGCCCCGCTCCCCCCCCGTTGACCACTGCTGGCGCCGCCGACGCCGCCACACCGGCGTCGCCTCCCGCGGACGCTTCCGCCGCGGTTACCGAAGATAGGTTCGCAGCAGACGTCAGAGCTTGTAGAACCTGCGCCGACAGTGGGCCGGAAATGCGGACGACTGCGACTCCCGCGGGTCCCGCATTTCCCGTAGCCAGAGCGAAGATGGTGTCCTCCGATGAGGAGGAAGACGCGGAAGGCAAGGGGGAACGTGTGGTACTGATCAGGTCACCGTCTTCCTTGTTGGTCCGAGGAAGTGTTTTCATGTTCGAACCCACTGCTCGCCGCAAGGCTGGACGCGGTGACGGTTCGCCAGTGGGTCCTCTGGCGATAGGATTTGTTGGTGAGGTGCCTGTTGGGGATGCTGCTAGGTGCTGTAGTCTTCTGCTGGTGCTGCTGGTGCTGCTGGTGCTGCTGATGCGGGGCAAGAGCGGAGATGCTGCCGGTGCCATTGGCGGGGTTGCGCCGCGTGTGCTGGTAATGGTACCGCCATGCAGTGATGCCCGTAAAGTTGATGTGCTGGGAATGTGTGGCAAGAGGTTCCTACGCTTCGGGTGGGACGCCAGTAGCAGCAGAAGGCGTTGACATGCTGAAGTAGATGTGGTGTGCGGTGCTAGCCGCATGGCCCTTGTTGTTGCAGTTGTTGATAAACCCGCTGAGGATGCTGGTATGAAACACGGGGCGCCTACGTGCGACAGCACCAGCGGCGATAACACCAGCAACAACGGAAGGGCCAGCGAAAATCCACGTGCCAGCATCTCGTGGTGCTTCGCACTGAGTGCCACCAACGAAACAAGACGCTGGCACTAAGCAGCAGCGGGTCCAGTTCCCCGCGAGCGAGAGCGCGGCGCAACCGGGGGCTCCGTCCACAGAGATGGGTAGTGCACTCCACGTCGGAATCCTACTGGAGGGCCCCACGGGAACTCACAGTCCTGTGAGCGGCCACCGAAACGAAATCACCTTCTCACGTCTGTGTAGCTGTTGGTGACACAGCATAGCAGTTTCTGGGTAAGGAGACGGCAGAATGCAGGTCGTTGTGGCCTGAAAGTCGAATGGAGTTGTAGGACGAGAGGGAGAAGAAGCAGAAAGAGACGTACTTTTTCGTGGGCTCAGTGCTCACTCAACACGGGGAGAACGGCGGAGAAATTCACGGAGGAGGGTGGCGGCCAACAGCATGTCAGCTGCCGCATCTTGGTATGCATGTGTGTATGCTACGACGAGTACGACTTGTATACGGCACTTGCCGAAATGGTACCCTCACAAGGTCCTAGAAATGGCCCACCTACGTAACGAAAACATAAACATTTACTACACGAACACGGAGAACATGTATCTTTAGCTTTCAAGAGGAAAATCCTTGAGAGAAAATTCTGCGTACTGTATGTTTGTGTCGGATTGAAATCCTTAATGAAATAGAAGTGAGTGATGGCTCACGCGAGATCCATTTCATTATTGGGTACTCCCGAATCCGGAGTACTTCAATTTATTGTGAACAACCCATCATCTGTCGCCCCAACGCCTGTCGACGACGATTGATTCCCCTTTTTCATACGCCAACGAAGCGGTTGATTATTATTGTTCGCCTAGGACCGGGGATCAAGTCCCGCCACCGCATACTTCCAAAAACAGATACAATATGGATTGGATGGTGGGGCATCAACAACAGATGTTCGAACTTGTGGAGCTTCTGACCATGTGGCAGACGTAGCGAACCGGTGTACTCACGCACAGAAAATTGCGAAGAAGTGGATCGCCTCGCCGCCAGACGGTCGGGTTCTGGATACTCCTAGAAGGGGAGATTTGTTGTAGGAGCAGACGGAAACAAATCAAGGTTTAGGGCGTATATTAACGAAGTGCCGAAAATCAAAATCGAAAAAGTCAAAATCAAAATCGAGATCTGATTGGTCGAATATCTGCTACCTCCTGACGATTTTATGGAAGTTCCTCTGTCTGGGGACTTTTTTTATCAAAATCAAAATCAAAGAGGAGAGGAGTTCAAGACTTCGAAGGCTTGGAGCACCTGCCGCGAGGCCGCTGCAAAGCAAGAGCACGACATGACCTGCTGCACACTGCTCATAGAGGGGCTATCGGCACCCTACCACCGACACCATGGCCGTTATTTGTAGCCAGAAGACTCTGCTCGCCGGCAAGCCACAAAACGGGCCGGCTCGTTGGGTGCTCGAGGAGAAAATGCCGATCGCGACAAGCGGTGAACGGACTGACGATCAGAACAGGGCTGCGCGGCTTTTTCGGGCTGTTCCGTGCGGGAGAGGGTAGTTGCAACCTTTTTTCTCCACACTCACGATACCCCAAGGCATCTAACCTTGTACGAGACAGATGGTGGGTAAAGCTACCTCCCGTCGCGTGGCATTGCTAATGCTGTTGCTTCCTCCTTCGAAGAGTTATCGCTGAAAAACTAAACTGTGAGCAGACATTCGGCGCGAACTTGAACTATCCGCTCTCTGACGTGGATTTTTTAGGGTCAACCAAAACTTTTTTCCCTACACGCACGATAACCCACGGTAGCAGACCTTGGACTTGAAAGATGGAGTAGGGACGTACCTCCTGCCGCGTGGCGTTGCTGTTGTTGTTGCTTCCTCCTTCGGAAAGTTATCGGTGGATATCACAACACGTGGCGGCCCAAAACACCCAACTTGAAGTGACCGCTCGCAACCGTTGGCATTTTTGCTTCAACACAACCTTTTTTTTCCGTGCGCATTCGGCACCTCACGGCCCCAAACCTTGGCATTGCCCAACAGCCCATGTCTCCAGCTCCTTCCGGATACCGTTCTTGAGGCAACTCGTTGAGTATTTGGCGAGATATCGGCCAACACGTGAACAGAAGAGCGTAAAACGCACCCTAGAAAAACCACCGCTGCGCTGCTGGCTCTTCCCCTGGCGCCAGGTCTTTTTGATTTTTTGCCTCATCTGTCTCCTATCCTCGTTAACCTACACGACCCTCTTTTTTCAGTTTTCCACGATAACGCATTTTGATTTTGATTTTTGGCACTTCGTTATTATACGCCCTTATTGAAAGTAGTCGAATTTGTAACGTCGTTGCTAGGGTATGCATAAATTGCCACGGAAATACGGGGTCCCCTCCGAAGCGGGAGCATGGGAGTAGCCACCACCTCGGCACTCTATCGAAGCTAGGTGTTCACACAAAGTCTTACGAGGACTAGTCTACAGAGAGCAACGCAGAGACAAGGAGCGAGGTGGACACTGTGAGGGCTTCGGGTGGTTTGCCAGCTGGAGGAGCGGCAAACAAGTTTGGTCTTTCAATCAGCGAGCCGTGGAGGACCCGAGAGGGCCGCCCAACAGCAGCAGCAGTTGTACGAGGGAGCGCGCTGCTCCATCGCGGTGCCAGAGGAACGCCGGGTAAAGCCTCTTCTTGCCTAGCGACCAAGATGAGTCGCGAAAAGGGGGAGGGGGACAATGCGGACGGCATCCCCTCATAGAGGTTATACAAAATCCCCAACGGCTGTCAAGGATGATTCATTCTTTACGTTTTCACAATGCCCTACGATTCCACAGGTACAGTAGCCGGTCGCTCGCCCCGGTGGTTGTTCAGTTGGGAACTTTTCGTAGATGTTCTGACGCGAGAATATGAGTTCGAATCTTCCTGAAGCGACGAACGTCGCAGATGTAGAGGTATAAAGCAATATTGTGAGTTGATACAACGAAGAAAAAGGGGCCACGGAATGAGTCCTTGTCGATTTCCTTTGAAGTCGAGCATTGCAAGACAACGGAAGGTGGAAAAAAAAAGTGCGTGTGGCTTTTTCTCGAGTATGACTTGGTGGCCTCGGCTGGGTGCATCAGACACAAGCCGATACGGAGTTCGGGTTTTGGGCTCTTGGGCGTAATACTTCGTCTTGGAAACCAAAGTTCGGCGTACAACCGCTCATTGACTCGTTGATTGATGTATCTTCTTGTGTCATACGAAAACATCAACATCTGTTTAGTCTTCTTGAACAAGGGTCTGGTGGCCAGCTCAAATCAAATTTTCGCGTCCACCGAGGGTGCTGCTACCGTTGTCTTGGCTTCCGCCGTTGCTGCTATTGCTGCCAAGGGCGCGCCCCCCCCAGTGGTGTGGGGGGTGGCCCCCTCCAGTCTCTTGTGCACTCTGTGTAAATCCTGCGAGTCACAAAGAAGCACGTGGGAACCGCGTAATCGGAAAGAAAGATCCGTCGAAAACCGTTTCGGCCATTTTTTTCTCGGCGGCAACATCGCTGGCCAATGGGACAACTACAGACACGTACAAAGAGTCTCTCTGTGTTAGCTTTCGCATCACTACAAATCGTGGAATGACTCAGAAACAGGTCGAAGCCTAGAGACGGATGACAACTGAACAACGAGTTCGGTCGCCCTCTTGGTGTAGTAAGTGGAAACCTCTCACACGTGTGACGGCTAAATGTAGAGCAGGGGTGCGTGCCAGCAAAAATGTGTACGTTCATATTTCATAACGCAGTTCACTCGCAATAACAGGAAATCGGGCTCCGCCCGACAAACATCGGCGGCAAAAGACTTTCTCTTGCCAAGAACACCGAAAACCTAGCTTCAATTTTTTTGAAAGCTTACCGCGTACTCGTCCACGATGTCCCGGTAATCGCCCATGTAATTCGCGATGTCCTCGAGCCGGTCCATCGCCAGCTTACCCTCGGCCTCGAGGTCCTCCAGCTTCTTCGGGCCTGACTTGCTCACAGGCCCGGACTTGCCGTTGGGAGCTCGCACTTCGACTGCCTGTGCGTGCAAAAATAATGACACCGACACATGCGTTCCATCACCACCCCAATACGATGGCTCTGGTGTAATGGTTACGACAATTGGACAAATTATTATCCCTCGTGCTTGGGTGCGTCTACTCTTGAATACGCCTTCCACCATGGAAATGACCAGCAGCATTCCAGTCACTTAACTTTCGAAGCGCTTCCTCAGGACGAAAGTGAACTCCAAAAAAAGAAATGAGCGACTGCTTACTCAAGTTCTAGACACTCACCGTTCTAACGTTGTCGTAAATCGTCCGGGTTGTCTACCCCCTGAGCTACTGTTAAATAGAAGGGTGACAATTCCACCCAATGTCAAACACCAAACACCCGTCCAGCTTTTTTGTGTGTCCACAAGAAAAGCTTGTTTGCGAAAAGAGGGAATCGTTCTCGACAAAGATTTGGTGAGAAGACCCCATGCTAAAGGGTACAGGTCGCCTCTGCAATACCTCCAGGTTTTTGCTGAGCCTTTTCTTGAGTGTTAAATGTGCAAGAGACACACCTTTCAGGGATGAACGGATCCTGACTGGCTGGTGGTGAGTCAATTCGCTTCTTCACACGACCTTCTTCCGTGCGCAGTTAGTCGGATTCGCCAAGAGGCACTGCAACAAGCCTCACCTTGGATGTGGCCCCTCCGACCCCTCGTTTCGCCCGGGCTCCGACACACCTATCGAGGATGTTCGCCACCGCACCGAGAACCTAGAGAGTGAACGAGAGAGGGAGGTAGACGCATTGCTCAACCAAAAGTGACGCAAGTATCGTCTTCGAAGGCAGCTGATAAAGGTGCTGTTTGGCGGACAACAACTACCCCTCGGTGGCAATTTCCGACCTACATGGCGAAGGTGTTCCTCAATTGCATTGTATAGACGGACGTACGTACAGTAGGTGTGCGGGTAGTTCAGCGATGTTGAAACGTTTGCGAATTTTGAAGTTCGAGATATTCCAATGTGCCTTCGTCCCGTTCTCCCATTTTCCGGAAAATTCTGACTCGACAATGAAGAAACACTTGAACCTGCACCGGCGACGGCGCACAAGCCACAAACCACACCTGCCCCATCTCCAGCGTCCTGTCGGACATGTTGCTGATCTTGTTATCGAGCTCGTTCTGCAGGAGCAGCACCTCTCGCCCCGTCATCTCTAGCAGCTTCTGCATCCCGGCTATCTCGTTGCTCTCGTTCAAGATTTCGTTCGTTCTGCGATGATACCCATTTTGTGCGGTAGCGATGAACGGATCTTTAGGAGGTTGGGGACTGAGCCCACCAGGGCTCGCCAACGTCGTAGCGGTAAGTTGATTACTGGCTCGTGCGGCAGGGTTGTCATGGGCTCGTGCGTCCTCGCTCCTGCTAAACCTCTGCCCAAAAACACAATAATTGGTGCAACAGCCAACGCGCATTGTGTGCAAGCGGATCTTGATTTTCACCTCTCTTTGGTGTAGTTGCTGAACTCCGACCTCAGCCTCTCTGTCTCCCCCTCGTCCCTCGCCTGGGCCTCGTTAAGGTTCTTGTTGGCGTCCTTGAGGGTAGCGAATCGCTTGAGCAGGTCCTGCACTTCCGAGTAGTCCTCGGTCGCCGCTTCCACTACCTAGAAGACGGTGGCGTCGTGTTGTGGCAGTCGATGCCTCTCGTTGGGTGTGGTCGTTGCACACATGACCTCGACCCAATCGGTCGCGGAAAACGTTCGTGAGGTTGCACTTGGTAAAGAGGAGGATCTCCGCTACTAAGACAGGAATGGAGACCGACCAGAAAATAGCCGAGCGGTTGTAAGCTTTTCGGGGTCGCAGATTGGTTTGATACCAAACACACCGTTGGCGGGTAAATCGCCAAGTCTGCGCTGCGCCAAACCATTGTCGGCCGCGACGTCTTCTATGTCGCCCCCCCCCCCCCCCCCGGGGCCTTGGTCCCACCCCCCAGGGCTGGCAAAAGTAAAAATACCCCCCCCCCCCGGGGCCGTTCAAAACCCCTCACCCCCCCTTTCCCCCCCCCCAATTTTAAATTTCCCGGGCCAAAAAATCCGGAAAACG